CCCCAAAACCCCAAAACCCCAAATAAAGAAAATTATCAAACTAATGATAAATCAATATTTTTAATAAATTTATATATTATAATATTAGATTAATTAAATGGAAACAATTATTGAGACTTAGAATTTTAGTCCTAATTACGACCACCATTAGTAACACTCAGACACCCCAATGCAAGACTTAGATGCCCATGCTCCGGCTTCATAGCAACTCCCCTTTCCTACTTTTAGTCAAGACATCTTGGATGAGTGTGAAGACAGACTTAGAAAGCTAGAAGCAACTCAGCACTAAATAGTCGAGACTAGTGAACATTTGCTTCGCCTTAGTCAGAACGAGTCACACTACATTCCCTTTATTGTTCATATATGGTGTAGGCTACTACTTAGAGTGAACAAAAGCAAGAAGGTGGCTTTAGTCTACCTGGCTAATGAACTCATTCAGAAAAGTATATTACTCTCAGGCTAGAATCAGGTACATCAGCTTTCATTTTCGAAAGCATTCTAGCCTATTATTGGCAGGATACTTGTCAAGCTTTTTGAGTTTTTGCAAAAGCCCGAGTACAATCAAATCAAGATAGACATTCTTAAGGTGCTTAAGGTGTGGATGTAAAGACAGCTCTATAATGTGGAGCATCTGAAAGTAATAAGAGAGGAATTGATGCAGGTCGGAGGGCTTACTGAAGAAGATTTGGACAGTAAATTACCTCCAAGAAGCTATCAAGACATGACTAAAAAGATAGAGATAAATTAGCAAAACACGAATAATCAGTAGAGAAGCTAGCCAGTATAGATAGAGGAGTTTAGGGGTGGCTATGACATAAATAACAATTGGATTGAATTGGCTGAATCGCTTAAATTTCTTGATGAAAATAGAGTCAAGATAGCTAAATTAGAGAAGGAGTTAGATTATATGGTTGAAAATTTAAATAGCACTGATGAATGTGATCTAGAATGTAAAATGAACGAATACCAAAGTCTTATTTCTTTACAGAAGACCTATGAAAGAGATTTACTTAAACAGCCCCTTAAGATGTACAACAAGGTTGAGAATAACAACTTCCAGGAAGTGCTAACACTTGAAAGAATTGACCAAGCTCTCACTAAAGTCATTAAGCAAAGACTATCTCTCAGAAAATGATGTGATTATGCTATTGATAGTCATAGAATTGATGATATAATTAGCTTAATTTATGATATGGATTTTATTATTATGATCATCTTATATTTTGATATACTTTTATCAGGGGTTTTGGGGTTTTGGGGTTTTGGGG